GTGGCTTTTTAAGTTCAACTTTCTTGTTTCTTACAGGACCGTTCATCCATCTGACTAGTCCACGAGCACTCGGATCTCATCTTCAGTATCTCCCTCAGCGTGTGGCGATTTAAAAAAAAAAACGATCTTGTGTCTGATTTATGTAACAGTCTTACTATTCGCCTACGTAGCCCACCTTTTCGCCAGAGTACTCAACCTTCTGCCTACTTGTCTGCCTACCTTATCTATATGTCCAGCGAGCTATCTACCAGTCCACGACATCACTAGTTCACTTACTGCAACCACGATCTTGACGTAACAACCAATGCAATGGTACAGACACGCAGCAACATTAACAGCCCTTTCTGAAACGATTCTACGTGGCGCTGTAGACGGGAAGACCAGGGAAGGCAGTCAGGAAAGACCTGGATACAGAGTTTGGCTTAATAGACAAGCCTGAGACATGCAAACAGTCAAGTCCACTGAATCAAAGGTGAAGGAAACACGGACACGTGATGTTATGTGTCTACGATATTGGTGCTGGTGGCAATGATGATGATAATGATGATTATCTGCCAGTATATATACCTCTATATTTATACACACTTATCTGCCTAATTACCCGACTTCGGAATTTCCCTATCAACCTCACTGCATGCCTGTTTGCTTAATTACATCATCTTCATCATGTAGCAGGTCCTTTGCATAATATTGCTCTCATCACGGTCTGTCTAATTACACATGTACTACAAATATACGGCCTGATGCTGACCATATCACCCACCAAGAGCCGACTAGTCTATACAAATATAGGTCTAGCCCTACGTGCCCAAAACGCCTAGAGGCATGAAAAAGGGTACTTTACTTTACTTTTACTACAAATATGTGTCTGTCTATTGATTTTGCGATCCATCTAACCACCCACCCGTCTGCCTGCCTGCCAGTCCGTCTGTCTGCACGCCTTTCTGTCTGCCTGCCCGCCTGTCTGTCTGCCTGCCTGTCTGTCTGCCTGTCAGTCCGTCTGTCTGTCCGCCTGTCTGTCTGTCAATGTCCTCTTTTATCTACTGTTACTGTATCTGCCTGCCCTTCTGCTGTCTGCCTGCCACTGCGTCTGTCTGCCCCCGCCTGTCTATCTGCCTGCCCTCCTGTCTATCTGCCTGCCGGTCCGTCTGTCTGCCGGTCCGTCTGTCTGCCGGTCCGTCTGTCTGCCGGTCCGTCTGTCTGCCCGCCTGTCTTTCTGCCTGCCAGTCCGTCTGTCTGCCTGCCTGTCAGTCCGTCTGCCTGCCCGCCTGTCTGTCTGCCCGTCTGTCTGTGCGCCTGTCTGTCTGCCTGCCAGTCCGTCTGTCTGTTTGCCAGTCTGTCTGTCTGCCCGCCTGTGTGGATCCGGCAAAGAGGGACGGATGAGAGCAGGAGATCGGCATGTGTATAATCAGTGTGCTACGGGAACAGTTAGCATCTACACATTTGGTCATTTGCTGCGGGAGACGGAGCATCTATGTGTATGCCCGGTGTGCTATGATGTCGATTCTTAAATAAGTAGTCAGTAATATTACTGGCTACATGGCAACTAGTCTGCCGACCAATTTTTCTAATGCATACTTATCTAACAGCCAGCCTCTGTAAATACCCACCCGCAAACTTATCTAACAGCCAGCCTCTGTAAATACCCACCCGCAAACTTATCTAACAGTCAGCCTCTGTAAATACCCACCCGCATACTTATCTAACAGTCAGCCTCTGTAAATACCCACCCGCATACTTATCTAACAGTCAGCCTCTGTAAATACCCACCCGCATACTTAACAGTCAGCCTCTGTAAATACCCACCCGCATACTTATTTAACAGTCAGCCTCTGTAAATATCCACCCGCATACTTATCTAACAGTCAGCCTCTGTAAATACCCACCCGCATACTTAACAGTCAGCCTCTGTAAATACCCACCCGCATACTTATTTAACAGTCAGCCTCTGTAAATACCCACCCGCATACTTATTTAACAGTCAGCCTCTGTAAATACCCACCCGCATACTTATTTAACAGTCAGCCTCTGTAAATACCCACCCGCATACTTAACAGTCAGCCTCTGTAAATACCCACCCGCATACTTATCTAACAGTCAGCCTCTGTAAATACCCACCCGCATACTTATCTAACAGTCAGCCTCTGTAAATACCCACACGCATACCTACTCCTGCATCTACCTACCTCTCCACCCACTTAAATGCTAAATTCAACCAATGATTTTTGCTAAAAGATATTTTATCTTGTCTGTCTGTGTGACAACGAACATGTCTGTCTGAAAGACAGCCATTGCAGCAAGACATTTGGTTGTGATAGAATTTCTGCCAGTGATCATTGCAGCAAGACATTTCGTTGTGATAGTATGTCTGCCAGTGATCACTACAGCAAGACATTTGGTTGTGATAGTATGTCTGCCAGTGATCACTGCAACAAGACATTTGGTTGTGATAGTATGTCTGCCAGTGATCACTGCAACAAGACATTTCGTTGTGATAGTATGTCTGCCAGTGATCACTACAGCAAGACATTTGGTTGTGATAGTATGTCTGCCAGTGATCACTGCAGCAAGACATTTCGTTGTGATAGTATGTCTGCCAGTGATCACTGCAACAAGACATTTGGTTGTGATAGTATGCCTGCCAGTGATCACTGCAACAAGACATTTGGTTGTGATAGTATGCCTGCCAGTGATCACTGCAACAAAACATTTGATTGTGATAGTATGTCTGCCAGTGATCACTGCAACAAGACATTTGGTTGTGATAGTATATCTGCCAGTGATCACTGCAACAGGACATTTGGTTGTGATAGTATGTCTGCCAGTGATCACTGCAACAAGACATTTGGTTGTGATAGTATGTCTGCCAGTGATCACTGCAACAAGACAGTTGGTTGTGATAGTATGTCTGCCAGTGATCACTGCAACAAGACATTTGGTTGTGATAGTATGTCTGCCAGTGATCACTGCAACAAGACATTTGGTTGTGATAGTATGTCTGCCAGTGATCACTGCAACAAGACATTTGATAACCCCTAACTGTTGCCACTAAATGCTGAGGCCAGAGATTTTTAAAACAGAATGTCTTGTCAACTATTGCAGGTGTTCTCAGCTTCAAGTCAGAAGATGGCGGATATCAAGTAAGAACTGGATTCTTTAAAGTAAATTTGTAGGTCTGCGTTTGTAGCTGGACTGGCAGGGGTACAACTTCAGTTGGGTCCTTCCCCCCCCCCCCTCCCACCAGGATGCTGAGTTAACACATCGGGGATGAGAATCAAACCGGAACAACTCCCAGAAATCGCGTATAACCATGAAGCACAGCTATATAAGAGGGCACCCGTACATTTACAATGTCATCTGTATTCCAGTGTGGCCATTGGGTGTACCAGTTGTGGCTTCCATGCCGTGTTCCCACTTCTGGCGGCTACCGACAGCTTTGACACACCACATACACCTTGTTCAACCTCTGAGAAAATTCTAATAGGGTCACCAGGCTGGTGTGACCTGCAGTCCAGGTTCAAGGACACATTTTTAAGCTTCTGTCTCTTGTTCAGATTGGCGGAGTAAATCGAACGGCAGCAAAACTGAGTTTCCCAGTCTGTGACCATTATATGTCAGCAGAAATGACTAAAAGCGCCACTTTGTGTACACCAATCCACAGGACACCAATCACAGACAGCCCTTTGACCGTATGGAACCGTTCAGTTAGGCCAGCCTACAGTGGAGCAGCCACCAGCCCTCTGTGTTGGATCAGTACCCCTCTCCTCCCTAAATTATATCACTTTTACATATTTAACATAAATACTTTCTGTCCTCTTCCATTGATACCCCTAGTTTATTATACTACCAACGGGTCCAACCCCTTATTTAAATATAAATCCTAAAACGGCCGCAGCCCCATCAGCCTCCAGTCAGTGCCGAACGTGAAAACCCTCGGATCCTATGTTCCGCATGCCTCACAAGTCACGGACATCTAGCCTCTCCGAGCCTTATCTGACCCTTAACCCATGTAACCCGATCCGCCAGGCGACCTAGATAAGGCCTCACATCGATCCAGGGCTCCCAATGCTGGGTCCCCCCCCCCCACCCCCCTTCCCAGATCTGGGTTTTTATTTGACGCCTGGGTGGAATCTGTTTTTTTTAAAAATATATATATATATATTTGGTTGCCACCCTACGGGTTTCACGTATCAGTCCACACGGCCATGTATTAAAAATAATTTTTTGAGTGGCTAATTGACCTTGGCTCTCATTTGTACTCAGCCTGAAAGAAATACCAGGAAATGTTCTGGGAAGTGAAGGCGACTAGGGTAATATCCAGTAGATCGTCACTGGAGTACCAACTGATCTACAATGCTGAGGTCTAGTACATTTCACGGCATAGAACTGGGACCTTTTCTGAAGTTTTCCATGACCTTAAAGGGGCGTTTACAGCGTTTAATGGATGTTAAAGAGATATTTAGAGATCTTTACTATCTTAGATTACCTGTTACTTTACTGCTTACTTTATTTGTCGTGACTACATATTTACAAAATCTGTATGTAAACATGTTTCTCTGATAACAATCAAAGACTGTCGCTCGCACGATGGCCGCAAAGTGTTTGTTCCAATCCGCATCGGGTGACAAGCAGACGACTTTGGCTCCTAGGTCAGCTCAGCTCAAAATGGTGGCGGGAAGTATGCTATATTTGGCGGTCAAGCATATAAACACTGGGCTACAATCTAGTATCAGTGAGACAACAAAAGAAGAAGAAACATGTAACTGTGGTTGCCGTGGTAGGGTTAGACCAAATGATTTAGCGGGCAGGAAGAACTTCGCCCTTGTTGTGCAAGAATTATTTTGTTTTGGGTTCGTGTCTCACTTAATGATCATGATTAGAGCTGTCATTGTTCTCTCTACAGAAAACCAGACCACCCAGGAACTCAGCTGCGAACATCAGCGCGAGTTTCTTCAACTTGACCCAGATTCACATCGAGCACACACACCCGACTCCAACACATGCAGAAACTGTGTCGTGGACAAGATGGCGACACGTTTGGTCTCTCGCCTGACAAATGGGCATACAATCGTATTGAGATTAATAGAGAGGGTAACTACCTCTACTGCCCTCTTCTCAAAGCTGGTTCCACCTTTTTCAGACGTATGTTCTACTCTTTGAAAGAATATCGCTACGCGAGGAACCCATACACTATCCCCATAGAAAAGGCTCTGGGTGCCAACAGACATGTCCTGGAAGACATCATGCCTTTTAGTTCGCCATCAACTGCAGCTTTCTCCACAACTCGACTGCCATTTTATTTGTCCGAGAACCCTTCTCCAGACTCCTCTCAGGGTACGTGGACAAGCTGTTTGCCCCAAACCCGTACTTTTGGTCTTTGGTTGGCAAACATATCATCGCCAACTTCAGGACCGTCACAACGCCTAAATCCCGAAAGTGTGGACATGATGTGACTTTTGAAGAGTTCCTCCGCTACGTGGTTAACGGCGAAGCCACCAATTCTAGCCATCGCGACGCCCATTTCACACCCAGCTATGACCAATGCAAGCCTTGTTATCTCAACTACACCATCCTGGGCAAAATGGAGACCTTTGCTGCTGATGTCGCTTACACTCTGTCCCATCTTGGACAAAACATCAGCAAAGAAGAACTGTCTGCCTGGGCCACAAATTCCACATTCGATGCTATAATGGACTCAGCCATCAGCCCATTCCGATGGAAAACTGCAATAAGAAAGTGTATGACGTGGCACGAGGCACTTGTGAGGGTCTGGCGGAAGTTACAAATTCGAGGAATAATTCTGTTCGAGCACAAGTTCCCATGGTCACCAGAATACACTGAAAAGTATATTACTTTACAGAAATTTACAGATATGGTTAAACATTTGCACTTAAATTCGGAAAAAGAACAATTTCATAATCAAAAGTTTGCAGTTTTAGCAGAAGCTTACAGTAACATTCCAGCGGAAGACCTTCAGAAGTTTGTAGACGTCTTCTTCTTTGACTTCCAGCTGTTTCAGTATAACCCATATCCCAGTTACGTATTTGATGTGAACGTTGCCAGGCAGTTTAAAAACAGACATAGGATATTTCATGTCACTAGTGTCTGAAGCATTTAGTTTTGACAGATGGCTGAAGCATCTAATCTTTACAGGTGTCTGAAGCATATGATCTTGACAGATGTCTGACGCATCTGATCTTGATAGATGTCTGACGCATCTGATCTTTTCAGATGTCTTACGCATCTGATCTTTACAGATGTCTGACGCATCTGATCTTTACAGATGTTTAACGGATCAAATCGTGACAGATGTCTGACGCATCTGAACTTTACAGTTGTCTGACGTATCAAATCTTCACTGATGTTTGACGCATCTGAACTTTACAGTTGTTTGACGTACAAAATGTTCACAGATGTCCAAGGCATCTGATTTTTACAGATGTTTGTCGTGTCAAATCTTTACAGATGTCTGACGGATCTGATCTTTACAGGTGTCTGACGTATCAAATCTTCACTGTTACCAGGTTGTAACGCAGTGTCGTGGTTTTCTGTATTTGTCTTGTGCTTCTTGGGTGGCTTGAGTGATGGATTTGTTCAACTTTTTGTAGGTTTCATCTACACCATTTATCAATCTCTTTCTTGGTCTTCCTCTCACCTTCCTCCCAGATGTTCTACTGTAAAAAAACAGTCTCATACGCAGTCTGGTCTGGCTGCATTCTCACTAGATGGCCGAACCAGTAGCCGAGCAATGTAAAGCCACTGTAACTCATAACCCAAATAGCAGTTATAACCTATTGCCCCTCCTACCCCAACGCCTCCCAATTTCGGAGATGCTGCCTGAAAGTGACATTAAAAAAACTGGACGGATTCGAGAAACAACTATTTGAAGTAATATGGGTCTAGCATTATGTGCCCAATACCCTTGAAAGCGTGGGAAAGGGTCCTTTACTTGATGACCATTACAGATTCACTGGGGTTTGGAACTGCTTCCCAGCTGAGATGGTGCTATTGAAAAATTTCTCATTGACTGTCGATAGGCAACGAACCCCGTTATCGTATGTAGTTTGTCAAAGAAGTCTGTCACAGATGGTCATTGTATTAACACACGAGCTTTATAGTGAGAGGCAAAAGGCTGGACCACTTCGCCACCGACACCCCAGAGGATAATCTGTCCGGTAATGTCGTTTCTTATCATGCCTTTGGTGGTTAGAGATTGCAGACTCCAATCTGGCAAGCATATTGTTATGAGATTTAAAGTAAAACTCATAAATAAGTGTGGCATTGACAGTTGTAAAACCTCTCATGGTCAGACCACCACAACCTCAATGCATCAGACCTGAAAGCTATAACCTACAGTCTGCAAACGATTGTCAATCACCAGCAAAGCAGCAAGACAGCCGAGCATATCTTTATACAACTGTTACTTCGGTTCTTTAAACCCCTGTAACATAGACTAGCCCGTGTGACAGTTGAGCAAGCATGAATGAAAAGTCAACCTGTGTGTATGTGGGCCGGAAAACGTAAAAAGGACTGTAGCCGGGTGGCCAATGCCGGTCATGATTTATTTGTCTAGCTCCACTTACCTGAAATCTGGCACGCAGGAGATCATGAGTTGATAAAAAGCCAATGCACCCGGAAAACTGCATATTTGGATTTCCGCATTCTGACCGCGCCGGTCGCCCTGGGACAGCACCCCCCTCCCCCCTCTCCCCAGCTGAGACTGCACACACATAAGCATAGCAGCGAAGGTTGGGCGATCGAGCGACGGTAGGCTGATTGATTTCATGGCTGTAGTATGCCTATGGTTATATACGGGTGTTAGGTAACCACTATTTGTATTCGGTCCGACCGAATATATATATATATTTGATTATAGTTCTAGTTATATATATATATATATTCGGTCGGACCGAATACAAATAGTGGTTACCTAACACCCGTTTCTGCATATACTGCATGGACTGAAATAATTCTCTCATTAACACAATAGTTACTGTTTCCTAAGTCTGTCGTAGCGGGAGAAACTGCGACACGTTTGTATGGTACAGCAGCTGGCAAGGTCTTTGCCTGCTGACTCGACCGAGTCATTACGGCAGAGGTTCTCAAACTGGGTGCGTATGCCAGGGGTGCGTGTGTGTGTCTCAGAAGAGAGAGAGCGAGAGAGAGAGATCATGCATTTTTTCGTTCTTTCAGGGTGTCTTTGGCACATGGATAACATCAGATTGAAGATGCATTACTGAAAAAAGAAACAGAATAGGACAGGCAAAAACTGCATTTAATAAAATCAAGAACATCTTATGCAATATATCCTTGTCATTAAAGGTTAGAAAAAGAATTCTTGCTTGCTACATACATCCAGTTTTAACATATGTCTGTGAGTCCTGGACAATCAGTAGGCAGGCCAAACAATTTCTTCAGGCTTTAGTGGTTTTACAGAAGAATGCTTAGAATACCTTGGGCAGCCCCCCAAATAAAAGCAACCAAGAGGTTTTGAAAGAGGCGGGAGCCCGAAGACAACTAATCACAGACAGGAGGAGACAGTCATCATTTTTAGGCCATGTTATGAGAAGAGGGAAAATGGAACATGTGAAAAGATCTATGGAAGGAGAGATAGAGGAAGACAACAAGAGAAGATTCTTGATGCCATGGAGGTGTCAGCACACGAACTAATATAAGCTGCAGGAGATCGCAGATTGTGGCGAGGCATAATCGCCCACGCCAGTCGACAAGGCACCTGATGATGATGATACACTATTTGTATTCGGCCGAATAGTTGGTCCTGCTATTCGTATTCGGTCGAATAGTCAAAAATCACTATTCGGTACAGAACTAATATATATATATATATATATATATATATATATATATATATATATATATATATATATATATATATATATATATATATATATATTTCAATATTAGTAAAATCTGAATTTGTCTCTAGTAGTTAAACTGTAGAGCTAGATATATCAGTGTGTATTATCTCTCGGAGATATTTGATTTTTGTGTGTCGCTAAAAGCGAATTTTCACCTTTGTAAGTGCTTAGCACGTGGTGTGTGTGGACTTGTTGGTTTTGTGTTCAGTGAAATAAACAGATGTTAAATGTGATGATTATAGTTCCAGTTTTAATTTAGATTAGGACTTGTGGTTAGTGTGCCTAGTTTTACTGTTACTGCTTCCTAGACTTCATACAGAACATATCCTGTCTGGCTAAGGCCACAACTTTTTACAGAACATATCCTGTCAAGATAAGAAAATGTGGTCTTAGCCCCCGCCTAACGAACTTTCTCTCCCCCCACCCCCTTTCCCTTGTTACTGAGGCAGCTTAAGTGTGGGTTTACTTCCACTAGCCACGACATTGTTGGAGTTTTTGTATATTTGGAGTCCAAATAGGTTCAAGAAGTAGATTTTCATATTATCCCTTCACTTATTATCTCCTCTTTTTCTCTAATTCAATATTTCCCTTAGGCTTTGCTTCTAGCAAAGAACCATTACTGATTCTTCTCTACACTTCTCTCCCCTGTTCTGCCTTTCAGTGTAAGGTTTAATGAGACATCCGGTACAAGACACTGGGGCGAAGTGGTTGCAAATGCACTTTCTGAGGCTAGGGTACGAGTTCCAGCCCAGCTGCAGGTGCTTTGGCAGCAGACCACCTTGTGTTGGTTTCGAAAGTGGTATCTGGAACCGACATGGTTATCGTGATGTCGTAAGCGCCCGTCCTCATCTTCAACAGCCAGCACAGAGTTCTAATTCCCTTTGAATAAATGTATAAAGATTGTGAAAATTAAACCCGAACACAATGCAGCTAGAACATCTGCCACCGGATTACAGTAGGTCTCACTTACGCCACACTTTAAGTAAATTTCTTCTTTGACCACATACTGTTCAGACAGAAATAAGTTTCTTTTCAGATATCGGCACCGAAAAAAAAAAAAACAGCATGGGAGAGACTTCAAGAGGACGGAGGGCAGACTCTTACAATTTTGTTTGTAGAGGAGGTGGGCCCAAGAGCCCCCCCCCCCTCCCCTTTCTACTCCGACTCCCCTTCTATGGGACAATGATTTACGGTTATGCCTGCAACAGAAAGAGTTAAAAGTAGATTTAAAAAAACGAACGCTAGCCATAAGTGGCTGAAAGACGTGGCCGGATCTAGCAACCTCAACGTCAGCTTCCGGTCGTCTGCTGTAAACATTCCCGACGACCAGGCCTGGAGACGACGTGTGTTTGTCTTCGGTTGTTTTGTCTTCCTTTCCTGCTTTATACAATGGTCGAGTTTGGCTCAGGACCCGTCAAAGAGACGATAGACAATACTGTCTTCATAATCCCGGGCATTGTCGTCGTCCTTCTGGTGGGTAAGTAGGCGACTGAATAAATTAATTATCGATGACCAATGGTTAACTTACTACTCTACTCCCTACTGTACTAGTACTACTGACTAATATGTGGTTTGGTAACACAACCAGCTCGGCGTGATTCTAGTTCCATTTGTAACTTCATTAACCCACGGTTTGGCTAAGATTGAAGCATAAGTTGTTACACACTGATACCACAATCAAGAAATCTTTTAGTTGTAGCTTCACAGACATAACTGAAATAGACGTGGGAGTCGGTCGTGTTGATGTCCCAGATTGTGGGAAACACAGTGTGGCATGGCATGGATGATGAAATCGTGTATACCACACGTGGCGCACAAATGAAACTGTTTGTCTTGTTTGTACTCAGCACTGAATCGTTCATGTTTTCTGCTGACATTATGGTCTTACCACACACAAAATCGTTCATGTTTGTACTCTACACTAAATCGTTCATGTTTGTACTCAACACCAAACCGTTCATGTTTGAACTCAACACCAAACCGTTCATGTTTTCTGCTCTCAGTATGGTCATACCACACATGAACTTGTTTGTTCTCATGATGGCCAAGACATGAGCAGCTAAACCACAGGCGCTGATAAATCATTGGTACTCAACAGGGTGGACACATTCACCACACAAGGAAGGACAGAGAGTGCCCGCTGAAATTCATAAAAGACAAGGAAGGGGCTCTGCTTACTACTACAAATGATATAATGGACAGATGGAAAAATACTTCTCAGAGCTCCTTGGTGTTGAGAGAAGTCATGACCCAGAAATAACGGACCTCACTACTGAGAAGGAAATCATCAGTGGGTATGATAACATCGGGATGGAAGAATTGAAGGCAGCTATTAAGAAGATTAAGCTGGGGAAAGCAGCAGGACATGGTGGTATATTACCAGAGATGGTCAAATATATAGGAGTCACAGGTGAGCACCTTTTACTGAAGGTTATCCAGGCAGCCTAGTGTAGCAAATCTATACCAAAAGAATGGGTGATTGCCATTATCATACCTATATTAAAAAAGGTGAAAACAGACAATGTGAAAACCACAGGGACATATCCCTCCTCAGTGTTCCTGGTAAAAGTTACTCTAGAATTCTCGAACAGAGACAGATGAGTGAAAAAGCCCTTGAATATAAGAGTAAGGTGCACCTATGTTTTTTAGGATCTAGAAAAGGCATTCGATAAGGTACCTTGGAGCAAGCTCTGAGACTGCTTGGCAAGGGAAGAACATCCCAGCATCCCTGATCAGTGCAATACAGTTTTTACAAAAGCTGCAGAATTTATGGAAGAACAGCAGACCAAAAGTCAGAAGAGTTTAAGACCATTAGCAGTGTTAGACAAGGTGATATTCTTTCACCTTACCTCTTCATTCTTATAATGTCATGATGTAAGGAGAACACAAAGAAGTATTCAATAGGATCCTTGAAGATAAGACCATCTGTATATCAGAGCTGGCATTTGCTTACCATATGGCCCTGATAACTAAATCAGAGACACACCTTCAGTCCACCTTACTTGTCTAAGAGGGAAGGGAGAACCATGGTATCTCAAGAGAGGAGAAGAAACACCAGATCATGATGGGACACTATGCATTGGAGCAAGTCAACCAGTTTAATAACTGTACCTTGGAGTTGTATTAGACCGAAACGGAAGCATTATAGCCGAGCTGGCTACATGTAAAGCTGCTGCTGGGAGACTCTTCCAGGCCATAAACCTTCTTAGCACAAGAGAAATTGGCAAGAGGATGAAAATGGCTGTTTACCGCTCTACCTATGTACCAGTCCTGACCTGCAGGTGTAAGTCATGGGCAATGACAACAGCTCTCAGAAGCCAGCTTTAGGCCTCAGAAATGAGATATCTGAGAAAGGTGGTCCAAGTGACAAGAAGGGACAAAGTCCGCAATGGTTACGATTGTTTGTACATGTATGCAGAATTGAGAAAAAATTGACCAACATGGGAGGCTGAGAACCAGAGCTCCAGGGTGCACTGGGAAGACAACATCCAACAGTCCCTGACTGACAGGACTGGAATGGAACAAAGTCAGAAAGAAAACTGCTGATAGACATGCAATCTCTGTGGCAAATCTCTACACCCCAGTCAAAAAGAGGAGCGACTAAGTAAGAAAGTAAATAAACTAGAACTAGTAAGTTGAGTTTTACAGTATTAGAGCTTGCAAAGCACTTTATGATGATCAATATTCTACTGTTTGTTAGATAATCTGTTTTAGATTTTACTGAGTTATTCTTATATTAGACCAAAACGGAAGCATTAAAGCCGAGCTGGCTACATGAAAAGCTGCTGCTGGGAGACTCTTCCAGGCCATAAACCTTCTTAGCACAAGAGAAATTGTACAGTCTGGAGGAGCTGATTGATCAGAGGTTCTGGCAGATGCTCGAGGCTCAAAGGAAAGGCAAGATGGATGTTTAATCAGAATGCTACTGGCACCATTAGTATCAGAACTTTTCACTGGCTGCTGAAGATGGGGACAGAGCGCTTATGGGAATGCCCAGAGTGCTGTGATGTCAGTTCTTAAATCAAATCAAATCTGAGTTATTCTTTGTTTTAAGTGTTTCTGAATTCCCTGAAGATTTTGTACTTTTGTTGTCCTAGATTCTTCTGTAGATTAATAGCTTTGTTTGGTTTTCACTTTCAGGATTTTTCTCCTTTAAACTGGTGTCCAGCCTGCGGGAAAAGCAGAAGGCAAGAGAAGAGAAGAAAAAATTGAAACAACAACGGAAAGAGAAGGACGGCAGTCAAAAGAATAAAAAGAAGAAATAACTAACACTTTTAATGACAATACTCTTGTATGAAAATTTACACTCCAGTTAGTGTCAGCAGTCGGTGTGGGGACCTTTACTCGCGATGTTAGAGCCTGGAGTTTGGCACATCTTCTCATAAGATCCTGGCGACAAGGGAAGACTGCTGCATTTATGAAAGATCTTGTGTTCATTACCTCCTCCTGAATGTTAATCTGTTGGTTGTTGGGTGAAGCTGGTTATGGAAAATTGCAATTCCTTCATTCTCATTGATCTATCATTCCCCGAGCACTTATTTACATTCTACATACTTATGTACTTCCTGCACCTACTGGGAATCTGTTGTGCATATTAATTTATTGATAATCATTTTTTGAATTACTAGTAATAAGTGAATTGGTGACTGGGTTGTTGTCATGTATTCTGATTTAAAATGTTCTTGTGGTTATTTGGTTAGGAGTGGGTATCCGTGAAATCCAGTTGGAAAAGTTGTCATGTATTGCAGTTGGAAAAAGTAGTGGTTGTCTGGTTGGAAGTGGGTTGTCATGTGTTCCAGTTGGAAAGGTAGTGACTGTCTGGTTGAAAGTGGGTTGTCATGTGTTCCAGTTGGAAAGGTAGTGACTGTCTGGTTGGAAGTGGGTTGTCATGTGTTCCAGTTGGAAAGGTAGTGACTGTCTGGTTGGAAGTGGGTTGTCATGTGTTCCAGTTGGAAAGGTAGTGACTGTCTGGTTGGAAGTGGGTTGCAATGTGTTCCAGTTAGAAAGGTAGTGGCTGTTTGGTTGGAAGTTAGTTGGCATGTTTTCCAGTTAGAAAAGTTGTATTGGTTGTCAGGCTCTGACTGGGTTGTCATGTATTCCTATTGAAAATGTTCTAGTGGTTGTCAAGGCTGTGACTGGGTTGTTACATATTCCTATTGAAAATGTTCTAGTGGTTGTCAAGGCTGTGACTGGGTTGTTACATATTCCTATTGAAATATTCTAGTGGTTGTCAGGTTGTGACTGGGTTGTCATGTATTCCTATTGAAAATGTTCTAGTGGTTGTCAGGCTGTGACTGGGTTGTCATGTTTTAAGTGAACATGCTGCATTTGCTGGACGGTTTGCCTTGATTGCTGCAAGGTTTCCTAATTCAGCCACTGTTGATGTTTATTTGCTGCTGTGTTCTCCTGTCAGTGGCTAAAACATTGGATTATGATGATGTCTGATCAGCATATATAGACAGCAGGTTAACTCTTTCGGTACCAAAATGAGGTTATTGTGTCGAGGCCTGTTGTGAGTTATTATTTAAAGTAATCGATGTTTGGGGCTCAAGAGTTAAAAGCAAGCTGCCTTGGTGTAGCAGTTAGACATAGCATGTGGGCCTGAAGGTCATGGGTTCAGATCAGAAGAAGATTCAATTTTTTGTGTCTAAATGACCTTTGTTTCCAGGTCGATCCAGTCTTAAATGGGTAGTAGCTAAATCCTGGCAACAGTGTAGCTAAATCCTGGCGACAGTGTAGCTAAATCCTGGTGACAGTGTAGCTAAATCCTGGCGACAGTGTAGCTAAATCCTGGCGACAGTGTAGCCAAATCCTGGCGACAGTGTAGCTAAATCCTGACAACAGTGTAGCTAAATCCTGGCAACATTGTAGCTAAATCCTGGCAACATTGTAGCTAAACTAAAATGTCTTTGCACCAGAGCACACAGTAAAAAAAAAAAAAGACAACATGGAGGAGGGAACTCGAGTAAAGTGCAAAAGATGGCGAGGGCACAGGGTGAGTTGCAAACAATATCTACCTTTAGTTCGGCCTGACTTGGTTTAGGGTCTGATCCACATTGATGGAGATATGCTAGAACTTGGTTTTGACAGGGTGATTGTTACAAATGTGATAACTTGTTTTAAAGGTAACTTGGCAAATTTTTACTTGTGAGTGCTGTAAAACAGTACCATAAAGGTAGGGTATGTATGTTACAAAACATAATATAGTTTTACCAGTCTTTCTCATTTCATGGTCTGCTGGATAAATTTAAGTGACCTATGATATCAGTTTACCCCAGAACAGTCCCTAAATGTTCTTCTGATGTTTCGTTTTCTTCTTCTTAGCATTCACTCTGGGGGGAAAGTTCTGGTTGTTTGTCCACTTCTGGAGTTTGATCTTGTCCCAGAGCTTGAATTTTGCATGCACATCCATTTTACAGACCTGGTTTGTTTGTATGCAGACTGTTGTTTTCTCACATCTGAGGCAGATGTGCTCCAACGTGAGAGACAGATGTCTAATTACTTGCCTTGAGGACATGCTTGCCAGGGAGGCCGTGGGCTTATTCTTTCTTCTCTTCAAAATGGGGCTGCGGATGATGTTTATAAATTCTTCAGTAGGACTGTTGAAAAGTCTGGGGTCTGCGGGAGGCGTAGAAAATAGTAGGAGCTTGCATGTCTTAACTGAACTACTACTGCACAGATAAACAAGGCACAGCAAATCTAGCCTAGCAGGTTCATATTTGGCATGTAGTATTCAAGTGCATAGCAAATTTAAAAAAAAGCATGCAGGAGTTTACAAGATAGCGTTTAAGTATGATGTTTATATTTAAAATTACGAGCTTATTATCTTAGCATTATTTTATTGGCATAAATAGTATTATTTATTTTAATAAGAGCTGACAGTGGTGGTGCCGTGTAGCTGAAAGTATGTCATATATTTGATTCATCATCATCATCTTGTGGGGGACATTGTTCTCATAGAATTCTACCATTTTTATCTTTTGCGTTTGTTGGAGATAAAACAGTTGGGTTCTGGGATGTTTGTACTTACAACAGTCTCATCGTTGATCTGGAACTGATTGTCTTGCTGCCTGAATGAATGCAGTATTTGACTTTGTTGTTTGTACTTCAGTGTGTATCTGTATGTGAATATGTTTCACATAGTTGTACAATGGAAGTCATATATTCGTTACATAGTGTTGAAGATAAGAGATAGATGGCAGTACAAGTGGGACGGCACCATAAATCATGGACCAGTAGTAGACTGAGAGAGTGTATAACTTAGATGAGAGACTCTTGGAGATCCACTGCAGTCAACCATCATTGTGGAGAAGACACCTGATTGTTTGGTTGTCTACAGACTTCATGGATTTGGGATGGTAACTAAAGAGTCTCACAGGTTGTGATATGTCAGAGCTGCCTCGCCTAAAACTGAGACTACAATCAACAGCTGATGTTTGACCTACACACTGGTGACTTGCTACTACACAGCAAGTTATTCTAGCGAGTTCTTCACTAATCCCAACCCAGTTATATAACTATAGATTGTTAAACATAACCCTAATTGTGGCATACTAGGTGATCTCAAGATTTGAATCTCTAAATGTAGAGTTAATGCCACACTGGTGAACACATCTTATGTTGGCCATATCAGCTGAGCTGTAAACCAAAATACACAACGTGCAGATAACCCTGTTTAAGTATGAATGGGGACAAGAAAGGACAGAATGAGTTCAAGTAAACACTGTCTGGTATTGCAGGAGTTAAGGAGCAGAAGTTTCAGGCAGGCTGTGTGATATTTTATGATTCTACTGCCTCTTGTTATGGTCTAGCCACTTGTAAAATTGACTGTTCTCATTGCTGGGCTGCAACTGCTGGATACAACTGTTGTAAACTGTAAGTACAGCCTCTCCTTCTCTGGTCATGTTGTATGTTTCCCCTGCTGTTGGGTTGAAGTTGTATACAGCTCCAGATGTTGGTTCTCCCACTGCAGGATTAGTGAGATTGTCTCTGGCCATGTTGAAGTTCTAAGTCTTATTAAAAAACTAGTGGAAGTGACTGGGGCCTCAGAACATAATATTCCTATAGTTAGCAGTGGATCTAGGGAATCTAACCTTTAACATAGATTGCATCCAACCTCGATTGTGGAGATTGTACAGATTGTTTTAAAATCAAAAGACTGTTTGCTGCTTCTGGCAGCTTCTGTACACCTGCCATATCATTTCTGTAAGGACAGACACTTGCCATTGTACATGTTCTATCACTGTAGTAACATACATGGCTTTTGTTTTACATTTCCTAATACAAAATGTGATTGTTTTAATTTCATTGACAACAAACTTATTTTGTTCTATTATATTTATGTGACAACAAATTTGGTGTTATATTTTTATCATTTGTATGACAATACACTGTTTATTCTGTTTCCTTGCTGTGATAGAAAGCCACTGAAACCGACATAAGTCGATTACCATATTATGGACAGACCAGAGCAAGTTTTTATTTTGCACCTTAGAACAGGACACAATCAATTTCGCAGCCTCATTTTTATACAATTTAAGATTGGGCAACCAGCCATGTACACATGGGGACTAGCACCTGAGACAACAGATCATGTCCTCCAAGACTGTCCCAAATACAACATATTAAGGTAAAACTTTTGGCCAAAAGAAACATCGGTGCAAGTCAAACTTTACAGGCCACTGAGTGAATTACAAGAGACAAAGAAGTTCATACTAGAAACAACATTGCAAATATAGATATTTCAAGTGAATGAAAAAGAGGAAGACATTTCTATAAAAGCAAACTTGTTTTTCCTCTGACGTGTCCCCATGTCTATGACATGATCTGTTATCCCTTTAAAGTTTAGGGCCGCAAGCCTAGTGCACCCGGTGCATTTCTGGGAAGTAAATGCCGACCACAACACCCATCTTGTGCCGATTGGTCTATAAAAATATAGGTCTAGCCCTATACGCCTAAAGAGTGGAAAAGGAACCTTTACTTGTTCTCTTACTTACTTCTGCCTAGTGCAGTGGTCACATGCTGTGTACGTTAGGATTTTATTTTGCCCTTTAAAGAAAACTCTCACCTGTATAAGTATTTGAACCCGAAGAATCGAAACAAGAGCCCGGCATACTAAACTATTAGGGCAGGCTTGGGTCGCGGACTAGCCATTGTTTAAAGACAACATAGGCTAAATGATATATTGGGTGAGCTGACAGTTTGGCCTGCGATTTTACTAGGGTTAACCATGCTCACACAAGGAGCTAGTGAATGTGGTTGTAAT